CTTTCTGCTGACTTTTTAGACTAAAAGTCAAATATTTCATTTCGAAATTCCAGGCACTAAGACGAGAATGAAATGTGAAAATGTACAAATACATGAATGCCAGCGCATGTGTGTGTGTGTGTGAGTGTGAGTGTGTCTGAGTGTGTGTGTGTGTGCCACGCCTACAGCAAACAGGCCAACGATAGCGGCAAAACACATTTTTCTAGCTGCGCCGAGCCCAACTCGAGCCGGCGGCTGCTTAAAAACTATAAATTAAGTTTACAACTTTTCCGCAAAAAAAAAAGGGGGAAGAAGAGGAAGAAAAAACTTTCTTTTTTTTTTGCAGCTTTCATTGTTCCATTTGCTAATGCTGCTGCTGCTGCTAATGTTGCTGCTGCTATTGCTGTTGTTAGTCCCGTTGTTGTTTCGATGTCTTATCACAGTGTGACAAAATAGCAAGCATACAATAAAAAATGTATGTCAAGCAGCCGCTGCACGACGAGCGAACAACTTTGACATCCATCATTGCCGACACTTGTTGACCCGAGACTGGAGAGACTGACTAGCCGGGCCAGCAGGCTGGCCAGCCAGGTGGACGGACATGAGCTTGCCCTGCAGCCCAGCCAGYCAGTGAGCCACACTGACAGCTAATCAAAATGTCGCACAAAGTTCATTAACAACATTTTCCAGTCAATTGTCTTGTCAGGTTTGGCCAGCAGCATATTTCAGTGTAGTTGGTCCTCTCTGTTTGCGTTTTGCATAGACAGCAGGAGGCGGCATAGACGGGCGAGAGGGGCGAGTGGGGCGGGGCTGGCTGGCAGTTGGGTCGTTTAGGTCGTGGCAGCACTTTGTTAACAACTTGGCATCCAAGTTGTTTGTCTTTCACCTTCGGCGTGTCGATGACACAACTCCCACTTACACACACACCAGCTAGAGCTGTGGGCGTGGCCCATTTTATTGCCAGGCAAATCAAGAAAACTTAACGAACTGTTCCCGCAGCTAGCAGCTCGCAGTCGGCAGTTGGCAGTTGACAGCTCTCGCTCTAGACGAACTCCGTCTGCCCACCTTGGTTAGCCAATGAACTTGAAATTGGCAACAGAAGGCAGCGTAAACAGACTGTAAATTGTTTATGCTCACATCAATTGCTATGCAGCCCATGCCAAACGGCGTTCAATCAACAGCTTCTCCCAGACTCTAAGCCTCTATTTCTGCTCTTATCCATCTCAATTTAGATGCTGCAATGCAAATTCCCATAAATTCGAGCTTGGATTCATTACAAATATTTGTTGGCATAGAAAATGTTTAATACTCAACAATTTGCCATTAGCCAAGTTTTGTAATTCAAATTGTATTCACACCTGGAGTTGACTTAAGATTTCAGGTCTATCTAGGTCTATGCCCAGCTTCTATTAACTGTGAGCCAATCTAAGATTTAATTGTTTAGAATAGACGACGATATGTGGATGAAAGGCTTATTTCAAAATTAAAATTATCGATAAATATCGATAACAAGGAAATGGATCGAGTTATATAGTGATATATGCTAGTTGCGTTGCTTATAAATAGGACAATAGTGCTTCACTCGGAATCGACTGGGAGCTGCCCTGAGCCCTGTGAAGAGCTGATAAGACTTCTGTTTTGTAACTATCGATTTTTATCGATAATGAGGTTAATATAGATATATCACTATATTATCATATTATTTATACTTATAAGAGTGCAAGTACACGCAAATCCTCGAGAATCCAAAACTAAAAAGTCGTCAGCTAAGCTCCTCTAAACAATGATTTAAAAGACCATAAAAAAATGAATGAATAAAAATCATGGGTATATAGTATGTACAAACCACTCAGTAGCCAGTGCCTTACCTTAAATTAGTTTCAATTTTCTATCTAACTTAAATTAAATTAATACTATTTTTCTAGTATATACGATATATAATCCACAAACAATCTTGAATTGTTTTCTGTTTTTACTAAGCTCTACAAATAGTTGACTTAAAATTATTGTTTTGGAGACTGACAAAGTTTTTTATACCTGTGTGACAGGAGACGGGAGGCAGTTAGCAGGAGACAGTAGACCGTTTATTTAATTAAACAAGTGCTTGATACTAATTAAAGTAGACAAAAGTTTATTTCTGGATTTGAGCAAAAGTTTATAGATGCTTTTGCCAGTTTGAGATGAAATTGTGTTGCTGCTGCTGCTGCTGCTGCTGCTGCTGCTTTAAGACCCTTTAATCCTCAGATTCTGCATGCTTGTGTGTGTGGCCTGAGCTCGCTTGGCTCTGTTTTATTTCGAGTCGAGAGCTTTAAGATTTCTTAATATTTATGTGCACGTCGTTAACTGCATGGATTGCTTGCATATCAAATGGGCATACGACCCTGTTCCTGTTCTTGTTCCTGTGTGCGTGCATGTCCGTGTGTGCTTTATGTAAAATACTCTACATATGTACTTGTGTGTTATGTATGTGTGTGGGTGTGTGTGGAAAGAGTGAGGCCTGCATGGCACGCACTGCCTGGCAGTGGGCGGGGCCGGTAGAGCCAGTCGGCCCAGTCGGGCCCTCTGCCGGCTTGACTTCCTGGCACGCACAAAAGCGCAAGACACGCAAACAGGTCAAGGATATTTATGCATATATGAATATACAAAACGCAAATCACAACAAAGCCAAACAGAACCGAAACCCAAGCCGATCTAAGCCCAACCAAATGGAACAGCATGAAGCCAACGGCAGCTGCACGTGCAGCTCTTTGATATCGTTACAGAGCTGATTCGATTGAGCAAGACTTTCAGATGAGCTGATGAACCACTGAGCTTCGCAGCTCAATGGACTGTGAACGGCATCGTTTAGTTGTGTGAAGTGAATCAACAGATCTCATCAAATTGAACCAGCTAAGAAAATGAAAAATTTGAGAAAGTGAACAACTGAATCAATAGATCTCATCAAATTGAACCAATTGAATTCTCCATTCACCAACCTTGAGAAAATGAACAACTGAATCAATAGCTCTCAGCATGGAGCTTGTTAATCGAATTGAACTAGTTCCTCAAAGCCAGACAGATCATCAACTTAATAAAAAATCTACATATATATAGAGTATAGTAGATGTGTTACTCACGGAACTAGTTCACAATTCACCTATCAACTGCATATTAATACATACCATAACAGTTAATATTGGCTTTGCCTCTGATCTAGACTAGTTCCAAATGGAACTAACATACCAGTTCAATGCTAGTTCTATTGAACTAGTTAGCTGTCACGCACATAATCGTAATAATTGTGCGCTTCGCTCAGGCTGAACTTAATGAATGCATAAACCGACACAGCAAACAGACAGATAGCAAAGAGTTCATGGCTGAACTGGTTCCACAAATTGAACTAGAATTGATAACGCTCAAAGGTTCATCAGCTTTAAAGCAGTCGCG